TAGGGTGGAAAGGCCTCAGAGGCCTCTCCATGATGGTGAGGGGTATTACTTGGTGTGGGGGAAACAGTGTACACCTGGGTCCTGGGAGTGGCACCCTATTCAGTTTCAGGGAGGAAAGTGGCAGGGCCCCAGGACAGGTGTTGTAAAAACTTGAGCCTACAGTGTAGATACACTGGTTAGAGGTTCCAAAGACTCCTTGGGAGGTGCCTCCCTTCTCAGTTCTGGGCTTCCCCTATTCCTAAGCATCACCTGGGGACCCCACTCTGGGAGCTCCTCTGGCATATGGTAGTATCAGAAGAGAAGGTGGGGCCGGGAGAGGAGCATCCTGCTTAGTTATACCCTTCCAGGGACATGGGAGGGCATGGAGGCCAAACATCTGTCTCTGACAGGGTCCCCATGCCACAGGCCAGCCCTCCAGTCCAGGGTAGCCCATGTTCTCTGCAGTCCAGGGTGGCCCACACCTGCCTCATCGTGTCAGGACCTGCAGCCCCTTCTGCTGGGCTCCGTGGAGCAGGGCCTCCCACCTAGCAGCAATGTTGTCGTCATCATCATCCCAGCCCCAGTACCTGTTGGAAAATCCATTCATCTTCAGGTAGTGAATGGGGCGCAGGACAAACACCCCTCCAAGGTGGCCTGGATGGGGAAGACTACAGAGGCAGAAAGTCGGAAGCACAGCTTTCCTTGTAGGGAAGGGTCCCGGCCCTTTCCTAGCCAGGTTCTACAAGGTCCGTTTCTAGGTGGCCCTTTTCCACACCCTGTGATGACCTCTCCCCTGACCCCTGTGATAATCCCATCTTTACCCTGGGATGTCCCCTTTTCTGACCCCAGGGTAACCCTTCCTTTGACCCTTGGGATGGCCCTCACCTGACTCTTAGGACATCCCCTCTTCTAAGTCATCTGGCAGGGCCATCTTGTGACTGTGTTGATGGCCCCTTCTCCCCAGAACCCTAGAATAGCTCCTTCCTGACCCCCAGTCAGACCTTGCCCATGTTCCTCTCCTCTGAACTCCAAAACAACCTCTCAGTTCACCACTTTATTAAGTACACCTTCTGACTCTTCTGTCAATAACCACCCCCATCCCCACTTGATACCCATGTCTCAAAGGAAGTTTCTTCACCATCTATAAGGGTTACTCCATGTCCCATCACCCACTCCCTTCCTACCTTAGCCCTAGGGACTAAGGGATGGACGCTTGACTTTAACCTCACTGCAGAGACAGGTAGGGTGGGATGCAAGGAAAGGCAAGACCTGGCCAACAGTCCCCCACAGGAGGTCCCCTCCCTCCACCTACTTGTAGTTGAACTTGTCAATAGTCACAGACACATGGGCAGGGAAGATGTCACAGGTGTAGAGGTTGTGGTCGTCTTCTAGGAGTAGGTTTACGTCATGGAAGAAGACACAGTCCCAGTCCTCCTCCTGCATAGCCCCCAGAACCCCACATTGCATAGCCTGTCCTGGTCAAAGGTGGTGTTGTTTACCTGGGGTGGACACAGATGCTCAGAGCTGTCTTCACCATCAGGCAGCAGTGTTCCCCCACCTACTAGGCCAATCTTCCTTTGTCTTCTCAAGTGCCTTTCCCCCACCTTGAATGCCTTCTCTTTCCCACTGTGTAGTTGGAAAACCCAGACTTATCAAGGATGATGCAATGCAAAGGTTACTCCCCTGAGAAGCTTCTCTTGTATTTCCCACCCCCATCCAAGTCAAAGTCAGTAACTTCAGCACCTCAGCTTCCCTTCTCTGGCCATCTGCAGTGTTCTCGAGGATCATCACCTTTGAGGGGCCATCGAAGACAGACGGAGGTTAGGGATGATAAGGGACCACCTCTGTCTCTGTTTCGGCTCCTACTAGATAAAGACTGGCTCAGAAGCCCAGGAATCCCCATGGGGTTTGCATCTCCTCCTCCCCTTCGTCTATCATTATTTTTTTCATCATCATCACCATCATCACTAGCCATCATTATAATCAACATTGCCAGCATTACCACATCACTGCCTTCATCACCTTCCACACTGTCAACATAATCACCTCACCTCCACTACTGTTACCACCATCATCACCATCACTCTAATCATTATCACCACCGCCTTCATTAACATCACGATATCATTACTAATGTCACCACCACCACTACCACCTTGAGTATCCCCATCAACATCACTACCGTCACCATGTCAGCAGCAGCACCACCACCATCATTCTCAGAATCATCACCATTCATAATCACCATCATTGCCATCACTTACTGGGCACCTACTACGTGCTCGGCATTGGCCTGTCTTACATTGGTTAACATAAGGCATTCCATTTGGTATGACTCCTTCCCATAATGTAACAACGGAGGTGGTGTTATCATCTCTATGGTGAATGAAAACTGGCACAGAACGGAAGTTCTCCAAGTTCACACAGTCATACTGAATAACAGCGTGCGGAATGACGGAATGAATGATTCCACACTCAGACAACACAGCTGGTAACAGGCAAGGCCAGGATTTAAACAATCCTGTAACTGACCCCAAATCCAGTGCTTTAATTTGCCCCTTAGGTTTACAGTGAAATCTGGGCAGCCCTGGTCTCAAGGAGCCCCACACTCAGCAGGACTGAGCCTTTGCCTCAGACAGCCTTTTAAGCCAATCTCAGAGTTGGCGAGTCTAGACCAAACCTACAGCCCTTGGCTCCAACATCCTCTAATTCAAGTTCTTCTTGACTCACAAACTAAGCCCCCTAGACAATATCTAACCCAGACCACTATCACCTTAAAGAGTCCCAACTTCAGGCCGGGCACAGTGGCTCACGCCTGTAATCCCAGCACTTTGGGAGGCCAAGGCAGGTGGATCATGAGGTCAGGAATTCGAGACCAGCTTGGCCAACAGTAGAAACCCCCTCTCTACTAAAAATACAAAAATTAGTTGGGTGTGGTGGCATGCACCTGTAGCCCCAGCTACTTGGGAGTCTGAGGCAGAAGAATCACTTGAACCCAGGAGGCAGAGGTTGCAATAAGCCGAGATCTTGCCACTGCATCCCAGCCTGGGTGACTGAGCAAGACTCTGTCTCAAAAAAAAAAAAAAAAGAGTGCCAACTTCAGCCCTGCCATGCTGGGACCCTTCTGTCCTCTTACCTCTGCCCCTCCCAGTCCTGCCTCACCTGGTTCACCACGTAGATGGTGTAGTACAGTTGCTGGCTCTGCAGGAAGGTGTGCAGGTGGAAGAACAGGTACTTCAGGTGCTGGGCTTGCCCCTAGTAGGGCACCACTACCGCTGTGCGGTGCTGTGCCCAGCAGTCAGGTGGCTGGTATTGGCCTCCCAGCTTCACCAGTGGGTTCTTCTCTACCACCTTCTCCACTGTCAGGTTCTCTGGGATGATCACTTTCAAGAGGCCATCTGAAGGGGCAGAGGCCTCGAGTGGTCAGAGACCTGCCTACCCCACAACTCAGTGGTCCTGGGTTGAATACTGTCCCCCCAAAATTCTTGTCTACTTTAAAATGTGGCCTTATGTTCGGAAATAGGATCTTTGCAGATGTGATTTGTCTTCCCTGGGAGACCACATCACTCCTACCCTCCCCCGCTGGGAACCACTGACTAACATTACCTTTAGGATGTCTGAGGTTTTGAAGCTCTTACCCTTGCTTGCTTTCAACGTAAAAATTACGCCTGGCTCAGTAAAGGAAGCCACCCTTGATTATGAGGGTTAAATGAGATGAAAATAAGAAGTGGTCATTCTAAATGTGGGTGAAGGGGAGAAGGAAAGAAAAGCACACTGCCATGTGTGTTCCTACGCAACTGTCTTGCACGCTCTGCTCATGTACCCCAAAACCTAAAATCCAATAAAAAATTTAAAAAAAAAAGAAAATAAGAAGTGGTCATTCTTTAGTAGAGAACTGTTCTAAACATTTTCCACTAATCTTCAGACTTTGAGGCAGATGCTATTATTATCTCCATTTTACAGATGAAGAACCTGAGACGATGGGTGGAAAGTGCAGGGCACAGCGTCTGGCACAAGCTAATGGCTTAATCGCTGTTGTTTTCACATGTCCTGGCTTGCAGCACTTGTAACCTCTGGGCTCCCGCAGCCTTAACATCTGATACTTTCACATTAAGATTTATCATCCTTATCTCTGGACCAGGCTGGGTACACCCGTGTCCCGGTGCATCTGGCCAGCCAGTCAAAGGGCCTGGCACATAGGTAAAGGATGAACTTATTTACCAAAGTTCAACGCTTGAGGTGGTCACAAGACGCTCGAGGTGTGTCTACTATCACCCTTCACTCTCAATCTTCCTTATCAAGGGCCTCACAGGAGTGGAGACGAGATTTCAGACTATAGAGGAAGGAGCAGTTTTGGGAAGGGGGGCATTGGAAGGAGGTTGAGGGCTTGGATATGGGGAGCAAATGGGGAGACTGCTCCATCCCTTGGTTATGCACGATCGTGCCTAACTGTTCACCGTGTCCACGTCCCGATAATTGGACACGCGTGTTTATCTGAGACCGCTACCTTTCAGCATGCACAGAGACCCCACCCTGCATGGTCCTGACCTCCGCCTGGACATGCATCTCCTCCCACGGCTGCAGGGCACGTGCAAAAGCCCACTCTGCATCCCTGAGACTCGGCCCAATCCTAGGAATGTGCTTAGCGCAGATCTTCCCTTTTCACACTCTTAATCCCTTTCTCCGCCCCCTTAAACTCTTGCCATATTCCCACAACAAAAGAAAATCTGAAAAAATTAAAAATAGAAAAAGTCCATCCCATCTTTACACTGAGAGCAGCGAACCACCACAGGCAAAGAACTCCCACGCCGCGCTGGTGCCTGCGCAGGTGCAGACGGGAAGCGGGCTGGACCAGCCTAGTGCACTTCTTCCTGGAGGCAGTGTCCCCAGCGCTAGGAGCAGATGTGCACAGCTTCCCCTGGTCTATTCCACGCAGGGGTGCTATCCAGGGAACTCCTCAAAGGCAGTGACGCTGCAATCCGGCATCCACATGTAACCCACCTCCTCTGACCCCTCCCGCCATGCCCACCTCGTAGTGTGCCTCCTGCCACGCTGCAGGCGCCGCCGTCCGCGCTCGGGCCAAGCGCTGTACGGTGCCTGCGTCTGCGCCGCCTTCAAGACCGAGGTGCTGCACACAGTGCTCGCGGGCTGCCTGCTGCCGCCCGGCGCTGTGGTGGCCGTGGGCGCCTCGGGCGGCAAGGACTCCACGGTGCTGGCGCACGTGTTGCGCGCGCTGGTGCTGCGCGCGCTGGTGCTGCGCCTGGGCGTCTCACTGCGGCTTGTGGCAGTCGACGAGGGCATCGGCGGCTACCAGGCGGCGCGCTGGGAGCTGCCGTTCACCATCTTGGTCTACGAGGATCTCTTCAGGGTCCTGACGGACGCCATGGTACGCAGCACAGCAGGCTCCGGCCGCACCTTCTGTGGGGAGCTGCGGCGCAGGGCTCTGGAGTAAGGGGCGCGCCGCGAGGGAGCCACTAACATCGAGACCTCTGAGAACAAGCGCGGCCGCAGATAGGTGCGGTGGAGGGAGTGGGGAGCAAACGCGGACGAGGGGCGAGCCCCGAAAGGGGACTGGGGAGCATGCTCCAGAAGCGGGAGAGGAGACCCTGGACGTGGCTTAGCGGAAGGATCCCAGAAAGCAACTGGAAAAATAAATGCGCATCCTCCCATTTGGGGCCGGAGCCCACTGAAGGCTCCTGTGGGTAGTACGTGTTCCTCCCTAGGATGGAGCACGGCAGACTTTTGGCCTCTGGGTCTCTGCCATCATCTTAGTACACACATTGGCAAATAGAGGGGCTGCCCTGTAGGAATTAAAGCTGGTTTATTATCTGCTATTATTATTATTATTTTGAGACGGAGTCTCTGCCGCCCAGGCTGGAGTGCAGTAGCGCAATCGACTCACTGCAGCCTCTGTCCCCCAGATTCAAGCGATTCTCTCCTCTCCTGAGTAGCTGGGATTACAGGTGCCTGCCACCATGCCTGGCTAATTTTTGTATTTTTAGTAGAGGGAAATGACTTTCTTTCTATCTCCCGTCACAAAGAGAAGAGATGTGAAGAGGCGTCTCCCATCATAAGCCATACAGTCTGAAACGCTACGGTCTCTCTTAACTCCTCTTTATAGGTTTCTCTCTGATTAACTCTTATTTTCTCCCAGTGATTACTTCAATAAGTAATTATCGTCCATTGACTACCAGATACAAGCAGTGTAGCCTAGAGCAAATTACCTAAGCTCCGTTTCATCCTTTGTAAAATGGGAATGTTAATGACATCTGGGTCCTCAAGTTGGGAATTAGATGAGTTTTATATATACAGCACTTACACTAGAGGCTGAAAACAGTAAACATTATGTAAATGCTGCTGTTATCATGACGCACAAGAGACCAAGACAGTCTGAAATACAGACTCCATTCTTCACCTGGTTATTCACTGAGCCTTTGGGTCTCCGTTCACTCAGTAAAGGTTTCCTTACTCCCCAGCTTTTCCCCGTCACTAGGACCCCCTGATAGAAATTCACACATTCTGTGTAATTTTCCTTAGTAGCACTTGTCAGGTCGTAATTACATAATTACAGACTCAAGTATAAGATAAGATGCAGAAGTAGGATAGTTTCCATTTAAATTTTATGGTGACGGGTGTGTTATGTATTCACTAACTTTCTTCCTGGTCTTTCTTCAATCCAGTGCTCTGCATTCCCAGTGGCACTTGTGTCAACAGCTCTCTTGAGAATCCTCATTAAATGGCCCCTTTTTTCTCTTGTGTAGTCTGAAATACAGTTTTCACTGAGGCTGAAATGGTGTTTGCAGCGAAAGCACTTTGGCTCCCTATGTGGAAGGACAGCTAGTGAAGGGCCTGGTATACAGTGGGTGGAGGGCAAATGAGCGGGCGCTCAAGGAGCATCTGTGTTCCCTTCAAGTCTCCTTTCCACGTCCAGTCTCCATCTGGCTGCTCTATGGTACCCGGGAGTCTCCATGGCAGGGTTCCCCCCATCGTACCTCTTCCCCTCCCCCTGCCCCCCTCTCTCTCTTGCGTCCTGGAGCCCCACCGTGCCCTGGGTTTCCACGGTCCGCACTCCTCTCCCGGTCTCTCTCTGGGTCCTAGCGGTCCCACTGTGTCCTGGGTCTCCATGGGTCTCCCTCCCAGTCTCCCTCTGGGTCCTGGTGGACCCTTGGTTCCCCGGGGGGCTCCCTGACCAGCAGCGCCCTCTGCGCCCCAGCTCACCCGCTCCCGTCTCTCCCCACCAGGTCACAACGCAGACGACATGGCGGAGACTGTGCTCATGAACTTCCTGCGGGGCGACGCCGGGCGGCTGGCCCGGGGCGGGGGCCTGGGCTCTCCGGGCGAGGGGGGCGCCCTGCCGCGCTGCCGCCCGCTGCAGTTCGCCTCGCAGAAGGAGGTGGTGCTGTACGCGCACTTCCGCCGCCTGGACTACTTCTCCGAGGAGTGCGTCTACGCGCCCGAGGCCTTCCGCGGCCACGCCCGGGACCTGCTCAAGCGCCTGGAGGCGGCGCGGCCGTCGGCGGTGCTGGACCTCGTGCACTCCGCCGAGCGCCTGGCGCTGGCCGCGTCCGCTCGGCCCCCGCGCCCCGGCGCCTGCTCCCGCTGCGGGGCTCTGGCCAGCCGCGCGCTCTGCCAGGCCTGCGCGCTCCTGGACGGCCTGAACCGCGGCCGGCCCCGCCTGGCCATCGGCAAGGGCCGCCGGAGGCTGGACGAGGAGGCGACGCTGGGGACGCCAGGGGATCCAGCCGAGACAAAAACAATGTGATGACCTTGGAGGGCTACCAAGTTGGCCAGGATCCGAGAGAAAAGGGAAGCTCATTCTCCCTGAGGGTTCAAAAGGCTAAGGAAGCAAGCAGAAAGCAGAAGCTAGGACGATGAGAACCTGAGCTGAGCTTTCACAGTGTCACGGCTGGAGCTAGAGACAGAAGTCATGGTGACCAGGATAATCCCAGCGCTTTGGGAGGCCAACATGGGAGGATCACTTGAGCCCACGAGTTTGAGGCCAGCCTGAGCAACATACCGAGACCTTGTCGCTAAAAAAATGATAATAGGCTGGGCGCGGTGGCTCACGCCTGTGATCCCAGCCCTTTGGGAGGACGAGGCGGGTGGATCACGAGGTCAAGAGATCGAGACCATCCTGGTCAACATGGTGAGACCCCGTCTCTACTAAAAACACACAAAAAAAATTAGCTGGGCATGGTGGCGCATGCCTGTAATCCCAGCTACTCAGGAGGCTGAGGCAGGAGAATTGCCTGAACCCAGGAGGCGGAGGTTGCGGTGAGCCGAGATCGCGCCATTGCACTCCAGCCTGGGTAACAAGAGCGAAACTCCGTCTCAAAAAAAAAAAAAAAAGCAAAAGCAAATCCCATTTTCAAACTCACTCAATCTGGGGTTGGATTAAGGGATCTGTCTCTATTCTACTTGCCAGAAAGCAAAAATAGCGTAGCCCTAGCCACATGAGCTGATTTACCTTTAAATTAATTAAAATTAAGGATTAAATCCTCAGTCACCTTAAATACCTTTCAAGTGCTCCACACCACCATATTGAACAATGCAGAAAGAATGTTTTCATCATCAGAAAATTCCACTGTGCGGTGCTATTCTAGACTGTACTAGAATCCAGAGGAAGAAAGTTTCAGTCAGAGCTCCAGAAAATCTCTACAGTTTTTCAAACAAAATCCTGGAAACTCAATTAAAAATTAAAAAGTTTACAAGCATGCCAGGAGATAGGACAAAATGGTTGAATACCAAGAGGCTGGAGTCGAAAGCACAGATGTGATTGCAGGTGTCCTGGATATGAATTTTAGGTATGGACTTTGTCATCATATGAAAATAGATGCTAAAATGGAGAACTTCACCATTGTATTTGATTACTTTTTTAAGATTATCTCTTTGAGGCATGTCTTAGTAGCGTGAAGACGGATGATTACATTTTTAAAAGAACCATTAAAACCGTGACTGTGGTGAATAGTAATAAACACTTACCCTTCTCCTGTAAACAACTACAAAATAGCATCATGTATTAGGCAGTTTTCCCTGCTTTGCTCCACATGCAGGTCATCTTCCCAATTGTCAGCCCTGGGGATGACCAACATCAGCTTCAAGTCTACCACCACCTGCTTGGCTTTGTGCTTACAGAGGCAACAGTTTTCCACAGAACTTTCTGTGACATCCCCCTTTGGGGTCCCATGGTAACAGTGCACATGCTTGGCTTTTCGTACATCCCCGCAAGCCCACCCACACCTTGTCTTCAAATGAACTGCTCAGTGATGCTCTCCTGACCATCCTGCCTTCTCCAAAGCGTCACTTTCCAGGTCTACCACATTTGCGTTAAGTTCTAGGTCCTCTAGTGAGCCCCTTATTCTCATAAAACTCTTGGTGGCTGTTTCCCTGGCCACACTCTTGTCTGCTGCAGTGGTGAAAACCTACAGAGATCATTTTAAACCCCGAGTCACGTTATCTTTTTCAGGGCATATGTACTCTGGCTTGTGGTAAGCACACGACTTCAGTTTGATCGGATACTGAGGACATTTGGTCTGGCTTTAATCCTTACTCTACAAGGTCCCGACCACAGCACTGCGTGTTTACCAGGGCCCGTTTTCCTTGGCAGGCCCTCAGCCATCACATTTATCATTCTATCCCCATGAGACTCAAACGTTCTGCTTAGCTTCTCAGTGTCTGCTTGGAATCAGTAACCTATTTCAGGGAAAATGGTGTCGCCAAGTAATTGGCTCGTCTGTCTTGGCTTCCTGCTTCTTTCAAACCTTTTATCTTTTCTCCATTGATACAAAACATTTTGCAAATTTTACCAACTTTTTTAGATCTTCAAAAAAAATTCCATAAGGAAAGTTTATTTGAAATGACCTGGCCAGTCACCATCAGAATCATGTCACCTAAACTAATCCCACCTGAGAATTTGCCGAGCCTTCTTCCTCTAGTGCCACTGCCTCTATAGTTCTAGGATGACATCCACTGAGGAGCTCCCCCATGGGCCTTATTTTGCCTGGATCAGCAAAACTGCCCCCAACTCATGAGATACGCCCCTAGATTGCTTTCTCTGTGTTCTCGGCAACACTGGGAATATTACCCAACAGGTGAGTCAGGAGTCCCCATGCCCTTGTTACTCTGGGCCCCACAAACTCCATCCACCATATCCTTTTCTAGAGCCAGCTCCATACCTGTTGTACTTACAGAGAGCTTAGGTGTTCCTGTGTCCCTGCTCTGGGCACTTCTCATGCTTAGGGGCCAGTTGTGAGTTTGGAGGTCTCTGAGAAGGTAGATTTTCCATTGCCTTCTTCTTTAAAATTTAGACTCTGTTATGTTTGGTACTGGAGCATCCAGGTGAGGATGGCCCCTTTCCATAACCAACAGCCATGAACTGAATCTGATTCTGTCTGGGGATCCTGGAGTGAGGAAGGTGCAAGGTGCAAGCTCTTCTGATCATCACAACCACAATAAATGTGGGCGGGTGGGTGGTGGGAGGTGTGTCTCAGGGTGACCCATTGCCAGTAACAGTTGTTGGGTGTCCTATATCCTCAGCAGTCTCTGGCACGGGGAAGTCAGATCCTCCTTGCACCCAGATTCTAGGATACCTAGGATGTGAATGTCAGGTATCTGGGTCAGCACTGGGCTGGGGAAGAGGAAGGACCTGGAGCACAGAGGAAGGTATGGTACCAGCAGTGGCCTCTGCATCAGCCCCTGAGCTGGCTCCTCTGCTCAGGGTCCTTCATGCTTTCCCAACCCAACCCTTTGGATGAGGGTCCTACTCTACCCTTCACATTCAGAGGTTATGTTTTCTATTTGTGGCACTATCTCACAAGAAGCCACATTTCTCCTCATGAGGGAAAAATGTCTTCCTCCCCTCATTCTTGGCATCTCTATTGCTTAGTGAAGAGTTAGTTGGTCTGGAGGTCCCCAAGGAGATGGAATCAGCGTATAGTTTGTAATGCATTTTCTGCAGCTTTTGACCTAATCTGTTTGTGGAAATAGGAGGATCATGGAAATTTTGACCCCTTCCACAAACCAAAAGACAGGCTATTCTAGAGTAAGCACAAACATTTCAATGTGAAAGTCAAAGCATGAGGATACAGAGGTGCTTTGTCCTGTACCACATCTTCAGATCTCAGACCCACAGATTCTAACCTGCATATTTCTCCAAGCTGTACCACAAAAAGAAGACCAAGGACCTTCTGTGAAGTCACATTTCCTGCAGTCCTCTTACCCCTGCACATGCACAGCAGGGGCAACAGCAGCATCTTGGGATTGGAGGGGGGTGAGTCTGGGACGAATCCTGATAAGTCTGTTCTATCTGGAGCTCGAGGCAGCTACAGAAGGAGGACAGCTAGAGACTTTTCCTGGATTGAGTTGCTCCAAGTTCCTCTCTCTGTTAGGAGTCCTCTTCTCTCAAACAACTACCAGGGAAGTGAAGGCTGACCTCCTTTCACCCCAGGCCTACTGACAACCTGTTCAGTGGACCCTGCCATCTCATTCCTCACTCAGATGTTGCCTCCTCAAGGCGTCCATTCCTACCCCTCCTCAGAAAATGAATGGGACATGCCCCCACTCTTCTCTGTTCACTTAGAACTCTTGGAGACCTCTCTCAGAGCAGAAGAGTCCAGGAGCCCTGAAACTGAATCTTCTTCTGCCCCTCCGCCCCCCAGTCCTGATCACACACGAAGTCATAAGGAGGGATGGCTGAACGGAAACTCACCTGCAAGGTCAGAGACTGTGACTCAGAACTGAGGCCCTGGCTCCATCGTCAGACCTGGATGTGATGTCTGTGGTTTTCTGGTGTCGATTTGAGTTTAGAAAGTCACTGAATTTTTGTATCTCTCCCCGCTTATTCTCAGGTTTCTGATAAGCCCTTAACTCACACCTTCAGAGTGAGTTTTGACTTTTCAACAGTCCCTTCAGCCCCATAGGCCTCCCATGGCCACAGTATTTATCAGATCTCTTCCTTCTTAACACACATCCATTTAACTCTGACATTGCTTTGTCTGTTCTGCCCTTCATGACCACCTTCTCCATCCTGTGGTCTACTGAGGTCCCAGGAACCTTTCCCCAGTATAAATACTGACCATTCATGTAGAATGAAGGAAAACTTAGAATTCGTTTCTGCGACCCCTCAGCTCCAAATATAACTTCACAACCAGGCTTCTGGTAGGTACTTCATTACTTCGAGCTGATTCAGGATTTGCACAGTCAGGTATGAAAAAGGATCACGTATCAGGTTCTGTTGTTCAGAATACCATGGCAGCACAAATAAGGGATTCAAAGCAAGAGCAAATTATCAACCCGCTGGAAAAGGAAGGGAGGAAGAGATGGAGCCTGCCACAGAGAAGGTTTCCTGGAAGGAGTGAGCGCAGAGTCAGTCCAGAGAGGCAAGGATCCCAGCGGCCTGTGAGAAATGCACTCTCTCTCTAAAGCTAAGTCTTCTCTTCCCTAAAATGGGGGGGTCTTCATAGGAAGACTGCAGAGGAGCTTGGATGCCCTCTGACCAGCACCCCTGTCCTGCAGAGCAGAATGTCGCCAACCCTACTCTCCAACCTCTTTACCTCTGCATTTCAGACAGGCCAGCGTTCTACCCCCAGGGGGCGCTCCATCCACATGGACGATTTGGGGAACAACTAGCCCGGGCTTGGCTCTGTCCATGGTTCTGCAATATAACTGTGCTGAGTTCAGGAAACTCCCAACTCTGCCGTAGACACAAGTTCACTGGCACAAGGTTCTGAGCTGTAGGCCAGTGGGGTACCTAAGTCAGAGAGGCTTCGAAAAGGCTGGGTCCCTTTTGGGAAAAAGAGGTCAGGGAAAAAGACTTACTGCTGTGCTTTTCCTCTCACTCCTCTTGTTGACCTAAGGATCATTCCTTTGAATCATGGTGCTGGCCTGGCTAAGGGACAAACAAGAACAGGGTATTTTTCTGAGGTTCCAGATTACGCTGATCGCCCATGCTGTAGTGCAGTGTTGTGATCTCACTCACTGCAGTCTCAACCTCCAGGGCACAAGGGATCCTCCGATCTCCTGAGAGCTGGGAGCACAGGCACCTGCCACCATACCCAACTAATTTTTGTTTATTTTTCATAGAGGTGGGATCTTACTATGTTGCCCAGGCTGTTCTTAACTCCTGGGCTCAAGCGATCCTCCCACCTCAGCCTTCCAATCAGCTAGGACCACACGCATGTGCCTCCATGCCCACTAACTTTTTTTTCTTTTTGTAGAGACAGGGTCTCACTATGTTGCCAGGCTTGTCTCAATCACCTGGGCTCAGGTGATCCTTCTGCGTCACTTCCCAAAGTGTTGGGATTACAGGCATGAACCACCGAGCCTGGTGATAGTTTCAGTTTTGATGTTGTCAAATCAATCAAGATTTTTGGTAAGGATGAGTTTAACTTTTTGTCATAATCTTCTAAAGAAAATTATTTTTTCTTCAAAAACTTTAAGAGAAGATGACTATCAGAACATCACACATTTCCTAGCCTGCAATATTTTTCTATATTTGTGTTACCAAAAATACACTTACTATTCACATTATGTAATCATCTCTTATACTGAGAAACAGAACATGTGGGCACCCCGGGAACCTTGGAACCCCTCTGTTTCCCACCCTCCCCGACCTTCTTTATGAGTTACCACCTTACTGATCTTTGGGATTACTTTTTTCCCTGTCTTTGCCCATAAGCACAATACCTGTGTGTATATTCTTAAGCAAGAATAATTGCTTTAAGCATTCATACAAATGGAACAATATAGTAATGTGTATTTTATATGGCCAAATAGGACTGCAGCAGCTTTCCTTTTATTAATATTGGCATAATATACTTTCACTTTTAACCTTCTCTATTCTTGTACTTTGCATGCATGTATTGTAAAGATTATATACTTGGAATCCATCCAAGTGGACTCTGCTTTTAACTGAAGCATTTATCTGATTATATTTAACATAAATATCCCATGTTATATTTTATTTTCTGTGTGTGTCCTTTCCTAAGGAGTCTTTGAAGAGTTCTGGGAAGGGGATCGACACTAACATATTGCTGCCCTGTTTTCTGTGCCTGGTCATCCCCAGCCTTGAGAGAACTTCCTGTTTAAGGAAGAGAGAGACCAGCAAGCACTGAGGACCGCCCCCCCACCCAGTGCCAGGACCCGTGTTGACTGATTTCCAGTGTTGATTTCTTTAATGGTCACAACAACCTTTGAGGTAAGATGCATGATCTCTGATTTACAGAGTGGGAAACTGAGGCACGGAGGGATGCAGGGAATTGCTTGGTGACAGTGCCAGGGCCCAGGTTTGAGCCCACCTCTCTAATTCCATCATCTGTCTTCTTTCTGCTCTGCTTGGAGCACGTACACATCAGTTCATGTTAGCATTGTCACCAGGGCTCTTGGTGCTTCAGCAAGTGGTCCCTGACTTGTCCTTTCTCCCAGACAGGCTCTGGTTCCCCCGGCCAGGACTGAGCCCTGGGTGAGTCCTCACTTGCTTGTCTTGATCTCTGAGTACTCTGTGGTGCTGGGAGCTTCCTGGTCCGTAGGCTCCCTCAGCTTCATCTCGGAAAAGCTGAGGGAGGCATAATGGAGCTCCTGTTGTTCCCCCAAACGAGGGGCATCCTCAGCAGGAGACGCTTGGTCTCTGGTGCTGTCTGGCCAAGGCTTCTTCCTGGAACCCTGAGCAAAGGGGAAGGAAAAGTGTCACCATAGGAATAAAGAGGCGGGCATAGTATAATGCATGCTTGTATTTTTATGTTACCTTGGGATTTATTTTGACCATAAGCTGGACTTTCTCATACCAGAAGCAGGGCTTAGTCACATGGACACAATTTCCAGTCTCTACCTCCTCCTCCCAGTTGCCCAAGGTGGTTAATCCATATGTCTGCCTTATACAACCACCTCCTATGACCATCTCCCTGTGGGGCATATAGATGCAACCTACTCGACTCACCGGTGTCCTGACTCCTGTGTCCCTCATGGGCTGCACATATATCTGGTGGTGACCACCTGTCAGTCACAGTGTGGCTCTGCAGAACTCCTGCCTGCCAGCTCTAAACCCCCAGTTAGAACTACCTGCGGGAAGCCTGCTTGGGTAATCCCTTGGACTCTAATTAAGGCTTTGACTTCTCTGTCTCTCTCTGTCTCTCTCTCTCTCCCTACCCACTGGATGAGCACTTGTGTCCTTGTCAGTTCCCTCCTTTCCATTTGCCCCTCAAGGCTTGCTATGCCATCTTCTCTCTGGGACCTGTGAGTAATAAACTTCTTCTGTTATTTTATGTGTGTTGTTGTGTTGTCGCTTCTGTGTCCCACTTGACTGACATACCTAAACCTAACTTCTCTTCTGGTCAAGGCTCTCCTAGAGAATAACCGTCTTGGTAGGAATATGGACACAGGTCATATGAGTGCTGCAAGGGCATCTGTGCGTAACCCCCCATCTGGGCACCAAGGAGGGAGAACTGGGGATCTGCTTAGCTCTCTTTCCTCGGTGCCCAGATGGGGGGTTACCTACAGGCATCTGCCAGGATAAACAAGATTCCTGTGCAAGGGACACCTGGTCACAGGCTGGGCACTTAGGCAGCAGGCCGTGTGCTGGGATAAAGGAGTATTCTGTGAAAGTCACACTGTGAACATCATGGCCAAATCCCTGGGGTTTCTATTCAAGCCAGGGCTAGAGTTTATGATCACTCCCAGAGAGAGACCTCAATTAGACCAAATTAGAGGAAAATACAGCAAATGGTTCCCACGGGGAAGTTGGGCTAACGTGACATTTATCAATTCACCCTTTTATAATCCACTCCTCCTAGCAGGCCACAAGCTGCCTAGGTCAGGGTCTGTGTCTAATTTCTCACACTGTACATGCCAAGGACCTGGCACAGGGCACACAGGACTGGGTTCAAATCCTGGCTCCACCTGTCCATATGCATTTCCTGTGAACTCAACTATTCACTCATTCTTTCAAAATTTTGTAAAACTGTGATTGATTAGATCTTATTGAGGACTTACCACATTGAATCAGCACAAAAAACCATAACAGTATGAAAGATACTCTAATTATCCCTACCTTACACAAAAAGAAACTGAGGTGGAGAGAGGTTAAGTAGCTTACCCAGGGTTATTCATCTAACACATGGTGAGGCCAGGATTCCAACCCAGCCCTATCTCCCCTGTTTCAGGTCCTGGGCACGTACAGTGTAAGAAATCAGACACAGACCCTGCCCTAGGCAGCCTATGGCCTGCTAGGAGGAGTGGATTATAGGTGAAGGAAATGTCTACCAGCAGCATACATTACAAGGCATCTTACGTGCAAACCAGAAGAGAGACAGCAATTCTGATCCTGGACCCAGGTCCCACAAAACAGAAACAAAATGGAGCAGATCCTAAGTCCCCCAATAAAGATGGCGCCCAGACACAGGTAAGTAATTTCTTCCCTCTCCCACCTTCATTCACATGCTATGGAAAAGCATCTTGAAAGCAATGAGGCTTCAAATAGGAACTCAGGAATTTTCTTTTTGAGACAGAGTCTCACTCTGTCATCCAGGCTGGTTTGATCCTGTCCCACCACAACCTCCCGTCCCCGGTTCAAGCAATCCTCTCGCCTCAACTTCCTGAGTAGCTGAGACCACAGGCACACCACCACTCCCAGCTAATTTTTGTTTCGTTTTGTTTTCTTTCAATTTTTGTAGAGACGGGGTTTCGACATGTTATCTAAGTTTGTCTCAAACTCCTGGGCTAACTGACTGGCCCACCTTGCCCTTCCAATGTGCGGGGATTACAGGCGTGAGCCACCATACCCAGCCATAAAGTTTTTTAAAAGGACTCCAGAGTCAGGGGAAAAAATGGCATCGTTGTGTCAGAAAAAAATAGACTTTCTGGAGAGAGCTGCCTATATTAGGTGCAAGAAAGATGAAATAAAATGAAAAAGTGGCTATGCACACCAGCATTATGCAGCCAAAGGAAGAAATAAAGACATGTGTCTATCAGTAAGTTTGCGGTGTTGAAATAAAAAGGGTTACGTTGACAATTGAAAGACAGGGCACAGCTCAGATTAATAAATAGGATAATGCAGTACGTTCAGCCTGTCACTCAATAACTCATTGCCGAGTGCTGGGGATAGATGCTGTTCTTGTCACTGAGGACAAAAAGTGAACCGAAACCACCCAAATGCCTTCCCTTCATGCAGTTCCTTGTTAGACAGAAGAAAAAGTAATATAAGTGAGCTCCCTGTGAGCTTGTCACTTTACTAAACACTCCTTGTAACAATCTGAGACAGATACTAGCATATTAATTGCCCTATTTCCATAAGAGATAATCAAACAAACAAACAAAAAAACTTAGGAGGTTCATTAGCTTCTCCAAGGTCTTGTCTATATATTATTTGTTTTTGGAAGATAGAAATAGAAAACTTTGGCTGAGCATGGTGGCTCACACCTGTAATCCCAGCACTTTGGGAGGCCAAGGTGGGCGGATCACTTGAGGTCAGGAATTCGAAACCAGCTTGGCCAACATGGCAAAACCCTGGCTCTAAAAAAATAAAAAAAATTAGCGAGGCGTGATGATATATGCCTGCAATCCCAGCTACTTGGGAGGCTGAGGCATGAGAATCACTTGAACTCAGGAGGCAGAGGTTGCAGTGAGTTGAGATTGTGCTCCTGCATTCTATCCTAAGCAATAGAGTGAGACTGTCCAGAAAAAAAAAAAAAAAAACCCACTTTAACATTTAGATAATAATAATTCTCAAGTAAGATAAAAAAGAAATAGAAAGTAAATATTTGAAAAAATAGTGGAAATGCAATTTGCAGAGTTAAAGAAAGATGAAACACCTCAGCTAAAAGGACCCTACAAGTTCAAGAAAAAAGATGCAGGGAGTTCCATGCCTAGATACAGGATAGTGAATCTTAAGAATATCAGAATCAAAGAGAAAATTATTAAAGTTTCCAGGGAAAACTAGTGGATTACCTACAAATACGTGAGATTAAGAATGACGTAAGACGTCTTAACAGCAATACTAGATGAAAGAAACAGCGGGGTGGAGTTTAAAGCACCAAAGGGAAAAATCACTTTAATTCTAGAATTTATATCCTGCCAAATAAAATTCAAATGTAAAGGCATAAAATACATTTTCAGGGATTTAAATCTTCAGAAGCCTTGAGGAACCCAAATTGAAAACCCACTGGGAGGAAGAATTCAAATAAAAAGAGACAAAGAGAAAAAAAACAGGAAATCTGTGATACGTGTGGGATAGAAAGGTGTCAAAATACCTCAGCAAAATGTGTAGGTGTGTATTTTTTTAGGAAAATTCATTATGTACAGGCCACAGATCAAGTCTCAACAAATTTTAAAAATAGATATCATAAAACCAGGTATTCTGACCAGAAAGAATCTACCTAGAATTTAATTATGAAGGATGTTTAAAATCTTCATAGCTGTGGAATTTTTAATTTCAAATAATTAAAGATTCAAAGAAGAAATCACTATGGTGTTTTTAACAATATCCATAACTGAATGCTATTTAAATAATAAATATCAAAATTTTTGGAATAGAATGAAAATTACGTTCTTGAAGAAATTTATCCCTACTTTTTATAGAGAATGAAAAGATATACACTAACAAATAAGGCATCCAGCTTAAATATTTATCAAAATCATCAGAATAAAGCAAAACAAGTACAGGGAAAGTGCTGAGAAAGTGAGAGTAAACATCAATAAAAGAGAAAACAGATACAGTGAGAAAATTCTACAATCCCAAAAGTTGGTTCCTTGAAACTGATAATAAAATAGGGAAAGCAGTTAACAAGATATCCAAAAGACTATAAATCGTTCTACTATAAGGACACATGTACACGAATGTTCATTGCAGCACTGTTTACAATAGCAAAGACCTGGAATCAACCCAAATGCCCATTGATAATAGACTGGATTGGAAAAATGTGGCACATATACACCATGGAATATTATGCAGCAATCAGAAATGATGAGTTTGTGTCGTTTGTAGGGACATGGATGAATCTGGAAAACATCATCCTCAGCAAACTGACACAAGAACAGAAAATGAAACACCGCATATCCTCACTCATAGGTGGGTGATGAAAAATGAGAACACATGGACACAGAAAGGGGAGTACTAAACACTGGGGTCTATAGGGGGGAAAGGGGAGGGCCAGTGGGAGGGGGAGGTGGGGAGGGATAGCCTGGGGAGAAATGCCAAATGTGGGTGAAGGGGAGAAGAAAAGCAAAGCACACTGCCATGTGTGTACCTACGCAACTGTCTCGCATGCTCTGCTCATGTACCCCAAAACCTAAAATCCAATAAAAAATTAGAAAAAAAGAAAGAAGTCACAAATAACTGATGTCAGGAATATTTTTAAAACGGGAAGTAACCTCGGAAAAAACAAACAATATAAAGACGAGAATGCCACCCATCTCCTTTTGTCAAAAACATATATAAAACGTAGGTGAAATGAACACGTCTCTAGAATAAGCTCGCTGAAGAATACATAAGATGATTAAACGAGGAAACTTGCGCATAGCAACACCCCCAGGCCCAGGGAGTTTGGTAAGTGACATCTATCAGTCATTCAGGAAACAAGTCATTTCAATTTTATACACACTCTTCCAGATAATAGAAAAAGAGACTAATCTCCAATTTCTTGATATTATCTTGATACCCAAACAAAAGA